TCTCAAAGCAAACCCAACTGCGGAAACAAGTTTCGCTTCCATGGCAGCGGGGTGTGAGCGAGCACCTAATTGAGCATGTCCTTTTGGACCTCGTAGCCAAATGAGCTTGAGCCGTAGCCATTTTAACCCGAAAACCCTAAACCCCCAAACCCCCAAACCCTGAACCCTAAACCCGCCACTTGATTAATGAACACCCTCCGTTGAAAGGGGTTTATCATGCGCATCATACTCATGTGGTCCTGACATCATAGTTGTTCAGGCTATGCTTGCTTTATCGAGCTTAAGGATTGAGCGAAGTCGCCGAAGTCGGTCCAATCCCTAAACGGTAGACTTAATTTTGGCTCCTGCTCGTTCATGGCGAAGTGCTTCACGGCAACCGCGACGCCTGCCCGATCCTGCATGCCGTGAACCTCAAAAAGGCAGCTATGTGTTGGGCGGCAGGGGGGTATTGAGGAGGAAACGGTCGTGAATAAGTGTGTGTGTGTGTGGGTGTATGTATACATATCGATCTGTCTATCTATATATCTTTATGCACACAGTTGTGTGCTTGTTGCAGACTTACTTCTGTGATTATGCTGATTTACACTTGCACTCGATGTATGTATATATGTAAATGCGCATACGACTGATAGTCAAGATCAAGATCACGTCCAAGGTTAAGGCTCAGTCGTGAAAGCTTTGTTTGCTACGGCTTTGAAGGTACTGAATGCTTAAGATCCTAGAGTGCCCGTAGATACTAGCTTTCTGATACTAGCTTTCTGGCACTCGACCCCAAACTGTCATCCAGCCCTATGGCTGTTGGAGCCACGAGAGCTAATCCCTCTGCGATCTCGAAATAGATGCGACAAAAATCCAGCACCAAGCCCTATACCCTAAATCTTCAGCCGCAGGCCGCAAACTCGAAATCCCAAACCCGAAAGCCTAATCTAGGGGCCTTAATTAGAACAGGATTTTGGAGAGTTTACGGGGCATTCAATCAGCAAGCTTGTTAAGCAAGCGTGTTTGTAATTATTCCGGCCTCTATACTGTCCCTATCTGTCCCTTGTGCGAGTCCACTGGCCAGTGAAGGTAGGTGGGGCATACAAGAAGCTCTTGCCTAAGACATCCCGAACCAAACCGTGAAAAAAGCTGAGATCCTAGATCAAGGGCCCCGGCAAAGGCAGGAGCCAGCAACCGGCCCAAAGTGGGGTCCTACCAAGGGGGATCCTTAAAAACTGCCGGCACTTGTGTAGGAGGCTCCTTTTCCTCTAAGACTTGGGCTGGATCCTTAGGGGCGCCGGGCTTGGGTTTAGGGTTTAGGGTTTAGGGTTTAGGGTTTAGGGTTTAGGGTTTAGGGTTTAGGGTTTAGGATGGGTGGTTGAGACAGCCGATGGCTGCATAGGAACTGAAGACTGTAAAAAACCTCTGATTGAGGGTTCAGGATTTGGGCTGCTTTAGGGTGAAGGGCAGAAGAGAGTGCAGGGTGAAGGGGTTCGGGTCCAGGTTCAGGCGAAAATCCCTCGTCGGCACTTCAAAACTCTCGGAAATATCCCTCTGCAGCTGCCTGCGGGGATGTTCATCGAACTCTTATAACACTTGAAACTTCTCAACAAGGCCAGATTAACAGGTAATCATGGGAGTTGCAGAGAAGGCACGTACAGCTGCGATCAGAGAACGGGAGCACTGAGAAAGATAATTTGCTACAAGTTTCCCCACAGGCCCGCTCAGTTCTGTGATCTTGGGGTATCTCGTCCTGGTAGAGATTTACTAGCTCAAGTCAGCGAGTTTTCTCTGAACTATGTTTCTTCCCCTCAATCCATTTTGGCTTAGCGGCCTACCCAACTCGGAGATAAACAAAATGTTGAGCCCTGCGCCCGCAAACCTCTCCGAAACCCCGCACCTGGACCCCTTAACCCCTAAAGAAACCCGACACCTGGAAGCCCACGAAGCCTAAGCTCCTAAGCCTCTCAAGCCCTGCCTCACCAGAGAGGTACTCGGCATTTCGCCCGCCGAAGGGGGACTCGGAGGTGGGCTGCAAGGTGCAACGTAAGGTAGGGGCCTTAATACTCAGAATAGGGCTTTGGGGTATAATGTATTATGATCATAATAACACACCTCCAAAATACGATTGGAAATAGATTAGGCTTATAATATATATATATATATATATATTATATATATATATTATATATATATATATACATGTCAAACTATTGTCCGTTTAATTAAACAGCTCCTGGAACAAGGGTTCCATGATATAGGGGCCTAAAGAAACTGGCGGGTTTTGGGCGACATTCTGCCAAACAGTATATGGGATGCCAAAAAGCACAAAGTAGGAAGGAGACCTATGGAGCAAGGAACAATATCGGCAAGTATTGAGGCTTCCTGTGGTAAGCCACCGGAATAGAAATCCAATGCTTTGAACCCACAATGTGGTACCAGTTAGGGCTCGGGGTTTAGGGCCTTATGTACTAGTCAGGGCTTAGGGTTAGGGCTTGTTGTGCTCATTTTAATACGAGTCCTCTGAAGGGTTCCTGAAAGGGTTTTACAAGGATACTCGCAGGCTTCCATGCTTATTTCTTATACAGGGCTTAGCCCAGCAAAGGAACCTACAGTGGAAAGAAAAGGCAAACCGGAAACATCCAGAAACCTTACAAAGTCTTTTGAAACACAACCTGGGCTCCGAACCTCACAGGGTTTTTGGGGGTGATCTAGGAGCCTGAACAATTACAATCGGCTTTTGGGGAGGTACCGTTTAGTATGTTTCACACGTGATGGAACCCAAAAGAATAGTATATTGGTACTCTTCCGACCCCTGCACTAAATATTAGGTTTAGTTAGAGCTTCAAGCGAGAATGTCCAAGACCCGCTCCCGATGCACGTTGACGGCGGGAGCCAGGATCATGTTCGCACCCTGAAAGGTGCTCGGAAGACAAAGGGGGCGGGAACTTGCAGGCAAAGAATATGAGAGAACTTAGTTGCTGAATTGCTCCGAGCCCCAAACCCCAAACCGTTCATTGTTCCGACCTCCATCTTTGTTTCTAGGGACACGAAGCTTTTCGGCTTCGGGTCTATCAAGTTCGGCCCTGAGATGACTGCACAGCTCCCTGCCTTGGCTCGGAACTCGTCACCCATAGCTGCGGCCTCAGTTCTAGGACCCTATAGCGTTTAGGGTTTAAGGCCTAGGACGTCCTAGGATATGGTGCAACATCAAAGGGGTTTCGGGATATCGACAGTGTATCATATCGACTCCAAGTATATTCCGGTGCGCTTTAGACTGTACTGCAAGGGCAAATGGGCATGGATGCTCCAAGTTTGCGTCTTAAAGCTAACCTATATCGACTATATCCTGTAATCCAATCGCACCGACTCGTGGCGGTTGGACTCGCGACTCCTTGAGAAACTTCACGGGAGCATCGTTTTTCTTCGGAAACCCAACAAACAACCGTAAAGTAGGGTCTAGGGCTTAGCCTACATAAGCCCCTATCATGCAAACCTCTGGCTTGAAGCTGCCATTGCGCAGCCATAATTAAAGTGTGCCCCTTGGAACTGGCCTCTTTTCTTAACGCAGGCCTCATTCAAGCTCTAAAACCGCTAAACCCTACATAGCCTAAACCTCAGAGCCTACACCCCGAAGCCCTAACGCTCCTAAGCTTCCGAAACCGTAATACCCCAAACGAACCGCTACACCCAATGTCCTGAAGCCCAAACCCTTACCTTGACCCTCAACCTCTGCCGTATGTAGACCTTTTAGCCCAATACCCTGGCCCAAAAAAGTTTAAACTTTTCTTTAGTAGGGGTTTAATACACCCAAAAAGTTTAAAGTTTACCTATTGGGCTCCTCAGTAGACGAGCCCGGAGCCCAATCTTCCACGAGTTCCGCGTCCCACGTGGCGGCGAGGGACAGCGGCGAGGGCCTCAGAAGCAGAAGATCAATGAATGCGTTTTGAGTGTCGTTGTTTGAAAAACCCAACCCCCCAAAACCCGAAAAAGGCAGACTTTCGCTCCTACAAATATCCCGAAGCCCTAGACCCTCCAAGAAAGGGCTTGTTGTGTAATGAAACCAGACAGAATGTGTAATTTCTGAACATGACATGCGAGCAGGATGACTAGGTAGGGTCCTCTTGCCGCACCCCTCGCATGCCGCCCTTGCGTCCTTTCCCGGCCCTTAAGGCTACAGTCTCCTGAGCCGACTTACGTCTCCCTCCTCCGCTCCAGCAATGCCCACCGAGGAGGCCCCAGAGGCATCCAGGCCCACGTAGAAGAGCAACCCTTGCCCGGCTTCCCCTGAGACCCACGAATCTCCAGAAGAAGGCACAAAGAAGGGCGCACTGACGGCACGCGCATCGAAGGCATCCGGTTCTGGTGAAGGCTCGAAGATGGGGCCATCACCAGCCTTCTCCCAAACAATGCCATCCACGGACTTTGCTAGGCCAAAAGCGTGGCCAGAGGCAGAAGAACCTTCGTAGACCATGGTGTAGCCGTCCCCATCTGGAAAGACATGGCGGCGGCTGCATCCTCCTGCGTCGAATGCGCCATCAGCACCAGGCGACAGAATGATGCCTTCACGCTCCCAGGTAAGTCCGTCCCTTGATCTTGCAAGGCCTATCCGGAACTTCTTATCTTCGAGTCCAGCTCCATGATAATACATCCGCCAGTCCTCAGCAGAATGCTTCACAACCTGAGGTGAGGCCGCGAACACTGCATCGAAATCGAAGTCGTCTCCCCGCGGCAAGATCTCGCGGCGATCGCTCCACTGGCCTGTTCCAGTCTTGTCGAAGGCAACCCCGATGCTTTGGTGCACTCCCAACATGTCTCGACCCCCCATTTTGAAAGGCTCCCGGCTGCCGCCAAAGTAATAGAGCCTGTTGCCTACGATGCTGCCCATCCCGACGAGGGCCGAGTCGAACTTCCCTGCATCCTTCGATGCTGCGAAGACGGCTCGGCTTGCTGCGGAGGCGGAGCCTCTCCGGCACTTTTGCCAGTTCAGGCCGTCCTCGCTCTCTGCCAGACCGATGGAACCCATTGAGAGGGGCACCACCTCGGGATCTGCCTCCAGACTTCGTCCATGGTACCACATCCTCCATTTCTCTCCCGCTTTACAGGGACGCTCCACCGTGACACCCCCGACGGCGGCTGAGTCAAAGCTCTGAGGAGTCGTGGAAGGTCGAAGCACTGGGCTGATGCTTGCAGATCTTCGCAAACGCGTGGACTGCAGGCGGGTGCTCTGCCTCGCCACGATGCCTGCGAAGAGGCTGACTGGCATGACCGCGATGACCGCAAAGGCTCCAGCCACCGACATGGCTGCACGTGCACGTGAGCGCATGGTTGTGAATGGTGGTGGTAAAAAGCAGTGTGTTAGCCTAAGCGTCCGATTTTCGTCGGCATGGGTTTGCCGATACGAGTGTTCAGTGGCTGCACAACTTTGCAAGTCCTTCGCAAGACTTACCCGATTTGACGCTGTCATCCTGGTCGTTAGACGCTTTGGGACGGCATAGGTCCTAAACTCATGCTTGCAGGGCTTGGGTTGTCCTTTCCGGCTGAAGGATTCAAGGTTTGCCCGGAATTTTTCTCATGCTTCTCGGACTGAGCTTGGGACCTTTAGGGCTGAAAGAGCTCAGACAAGGGGGATGTGGGGAATGTGGGCGGGCTGCTTGACTTTTGAAGCGTCGGGCTTGAGCCCAAAGCACTCTTTCGGGAATGAGTCCGCCCTGGAGGCTGAACCCAGGGTACTAGTTAGCCCGAAAATCTGGTCGAAAGTATCCTGATTCGTTTACTCATATTTATAAACGGAGAGACCTCGTAATCAAAGGGTGCGGAGTACTGCTGGCACGAGCAGACCATGTCTGAGGGCATTGCCACGATGTGACAGTGCCCAGCATGTCCTGGAGACAGCTGCTGTGAGAATAAAAGGCTTATAAACACTTCGAGCAATCTGTTTTGCTGTCCAGCATCATTGCCGCTGTTTGTAGTGGTAGTGTCGGAACTTGTGGTTGGTCGTCTTAGGATTAGCGTTTTGGAACTAGTATTGGCATTTGTCTTGCTGTTACTGTTGCTATAACTGGTAGTATCGGTAACCGTATGAGCATTTAAGAAGTACTGGCAATAGTGTTTTGCATCAGAATTCGCATTCGGATCTTTAATTCTAGCGTTAGTCTTCGTCTTAGTGTTAGTGATGGTACTAGTGCGGCTACCAGGGCTATTGCTAGTGTTCATATTCGCATTAATAGCATTGTCCGTCGTAATCATACTACTACTGTTGCATTCTACACTGAGAAATGGGTGTCGTGATCGGTTTAGACACGATGATCGGAAGAGGCCTGACGACCAACACTGCAAGTCACAAAGCCCTCCTGAACACCTAAACCCTACGCAACACAAGTCTGGGCAGAAACTTTAAACCACTCAACCACCCAAGAACCCATTGCCATACCTTGTAAACGGAGGTGCTGTACACTCGGTACAGCTGTCCTAACCCCGCGGAAAGGAAAACCTACACCTCAAACACGAGAGCATGAAGACTAGACTCTAAACTCCCGTCCTCGTCCGTGGTGCGGAAGCCAGCACATCCATCCTTCAGAATTGCACAAAATGGAGGGGCCTGTTGAGCAGCCGGTCCTAAGAGCATGGCTTGAAAATCTCTGATCCGGCACCGACATTTTCGAACCCGGAGCCTTCCTAATTATTCCACTGCCATATCAGCGGAGAAACAAAGGCTTCTAACTACTGCAGAAACCCCACGGCAAGCTCCGAGATGACACCGGCTACGCCCAATGCTCCTTAGACAATAGGAACATCAAAATCTCAACCCAAGCCTAGATATATTGAACAACCGTTCCGTGCCTACTTCAATACAAACGGACTGACTGATTCCAGCGGTTGCTTTTGTTTTTGAATTGTCCCCCTGGAGCCCACAACCACGTGTCCTCAACGCAGGAGTCGCTGCAACCACATTAACTAAACCACCCCGGTTTACGGGTTTAGGGGCTTATTTCCAGCCACAACTCCACACCCATCAGGCTGTCGACTCCACTGCCTTTGGTTGTGTAAGCCTAAAGAATCATTAAAACTAGTTCTTAGGGTTCCTGGCATGACTATGCCCTATGCCTATATCTATATGTGAAAAATATATTTTGTTTATGTATCTATATTTTGTTCTTTATTACTTATCCCTAGACGTCATTCCGGTTCTTCAAGCCCCTCTAGGTATCTCAGGCTCGTTAGTCTTGTTGGCTCCGGTGTTACATTTGTCTGGTGCTTTCTCGCAGTACGTCGGCTACCAAGGGCTAAATTCGGATCCACTACCCAACACCCTGAATCTTAGTCCTCCTAATCCTCGTCTCACCCTGTTGGATGCCTTGCAAATGGTCACGGCGACGCACAGATTTTTTCTCGCCATCTCAAGTCCGGCGCTTGCTCTGCCTTGAGGGGTTACAGATGCAAGTGGTGCAGGACGAGTGAGCTGCTCGGCAACCTGTCTCGAACATGTCCCGCCACGACTTGTGCTCGAGGAAGACTGAACCCTGATCCCTATACCGTTGGAAGCTTGTCGAGTTCTAGTTAGCGGGCTTGGCTAGATCCTAATCCAAACTAGAACGGGGTTCCCTGTGGGGGTTCTGTCTAGAGAGTTCTGCAGGGGGGGGGGGGGGTGACTACCATGCTGGTTCTATGAAACACTGGGGCCTTCATAATCAAGCAAGGGCTTTTGGAGCATGTGTCACAATACAACCATATCAAGGACTCCAAGGCAGACCATTACTAACCCCAGCCCGCCAAAATCCCGGCCTCTTGGACCACGGGAAACCCAAACGCTTCTGAACAACCCTAGGCGTTACAGGGTTAAGTTTAAGGCGCACTCACTGGCAACGTCGGCAAGGCTCTTTCCTGTACGCGCTACCAAGTCTACCCGTGATTACATGCTTATAATATACCCCTGATGGGCTAAAATAGAGATGGTAATGTTAAGGCCAACGAGAGGGGGTGTATTGATCAGGGGTCTACATTATGTACGCTTGACTTTCGTGCTCCAGGTGTTTAGGTTTGAGCATCAGGGGGTTTAGGACTCAGAGTTTTAACGGTTTCGTGTGCACAAAGACTCCAAAAAGCCTCGAAGGTTGCCCGGCATCTCCACTCATCAGGGGGGACAGGCCCTTCGAGGGGCCCACGAGATAAATCCTCAAGTCCCCACGCTCTTTTGCTTCTCCGACCAAAGGGGCTCCCAACCATAATGGACCGAAACTCTCGGCACTGAAGGAGCTGCCTGTTCGGGATTGCCAATTTTGGCTGACACTTCGGGAGCAGCAATGCATCAATATCTTTGCGCGACGGCTCCGCGAACTCAAAAAGTGCCCTAAGGCTCGAGGTGTAGGGTACCCCTGACTATCGGGGCCTTAAAACTTAGAACGGGGTTCCCTGAAAACCGTAAAAACTAGAATGGCAACTATTCAGGCGTCTGGTTTAACATCCCATAGACCCCAGACCACAAAGGCGACACTGTTGGTGTACATAGATACAGACCCTCAAGAAAGCTGAACTTTCCGCCATGGGCCGTGCAAGAAGTGCGAATACCTACTCAAATCATATAATGGCAGCCGTTCCTCCTGAGCCCTGATCTTCTACGAAGTCTTCAGGCGCCCCGGTTTGGAAGATGGAGAAGTTGCCCAAAAAAGCAAGGCTGCCTTCCTCACCGTCTCACCAACGCCTGGGGTCAGCCCTTTGAGTTGAGGGCAGCGAGACAGCAGCCTTGCTGAAACTGTGCTCCCAAGAGAGCAGCTATAGTGGCCTCATGTGTGTCCTTCAAGAGAGCTCCCTTAATGAGGATAAGTCTAATTTTTTCTATGGATCCTAGAAGAGCCGAAGCAGTCATGCATTTCTGCATGTGCTCTGTTGCTCCCGCCATTTATGGTACCATACGCTGTGAGAACCTCCGAAAAGACATCCTTGGCAGTGCCGTGACGGGAACCCACCTCTCCGTCCTTCGAGATTTTCGGGGAGGACTAAAGTCGTAAGTCTAAGCAACCACAAAATGTCGATCCTGCCTGGGTTCCCTACCACGCAGTTTTGCTGGAAACTGCTTGGGCGTCTGGTGGCAAAGGGCGCACGCCTGTTCGGCGGCAGCTGTCACCTGTCCCTCCTCAGCTGGCATCAAGTCCCTCTAAATCCTGGATCCCTGCACTATGCTACCACTTAGTGAAGCTTCGCCTTGTTCATAGGAACCTCTAAAGTTCTAGGCTCTAGGGCCTAAGCTAAGTTGAACTTGTTGGGGCTGTTACGCTTCGGTCGGAGGCGGGTCTTTATTTCTCATGGTGCTTGCGACTTTGTGGAAGCGTCCGACATTTCTCAGCCATTGCCTCTCTGCAGAAAAGACTCTTTAAACTAAACCCTGAACACTTGATCAACAATGCGCAGGCTACCAGCCTCAGCAAGCTCTTAGACAATCAGACTCCAAGAAGCCCTGGGACCAGGAAGCCGTGAGGCTTTGGGTCTCATGTATCTTTGACTCTTTCTTTGGTTGCCTCTTTTGATGTATGATTTTATCGAAAGATAGCCTTTTAGGAAATATGATAATGGTCTATATATTGCTTATACGTACTGTTGATCAGAGTCCGGTTTCTGTAGTCACTGAAAAAGGTTGGCTTTTCGGGTTTGGGGCTTTGGGGTGTGGCATTCTGATTCTAAGTTAGGGATCCGTCGTTCCGTCGCACCGGTCGCAACCACTCGAAATCCCACGTTTCGGGAACCTTCAGGCCACATCTGAATGTGCAATTGTGGACTCCAAACCTTACATCTTGTCCTCAACGCTAAACCCTAGCCCTAGACCACCGTAACATGAATAAGCAAGGGGAGCCATACCCGACCCCGAAAGACCTGCATGCTTGACCTTTGACTGCTACCCGGAGAGACAGCTGGAACACCAGCCACAATCGCAGATCCGACCCCCAGCATTGCAAGTGAGAGAAATCTGGGCTGTCCTGTCCTGGCCCCCGAATCCTTCCATTGTTTTCGTCACTTGCGGGAGGCCCCTCGCCTCCCCCCCAGCACTCCTCTGTAGAAAGAGTGCGAAGCATGTCTTGAAAGAGAGGAAGGACAACCCTGATCAAGAAGTAGGCTTTGAAGTGGGCCACTGCCTTCAAAGGCGGTGAATCGCCCACAGCAAACCTGATGAATAGGCAGCGCTGGCTGCTGGAAATTTCGTGGGATCGACTCCTTAAGCCAGCACCTAGAACCGAGGTAGATCAAGTTATCAAGTTTTGGGTTTGCAGGGGAAACTAGAACCCTAGTGTAGGAGCCTTAATAGATAGGTCAGGGGATTGCGGTATATGAATTATCGCGCAACTAGAGAGCGACCATAAGACTATTACTTATTCAGACCTCAATAAATTTCTAAAACAGTTCCAATCTTTACAGTATACCTGGGCCCTTCAATGTAACTGTAACTCAATTTCGGAAGTTGGGTAAAGATGCTTCGGATGGCCACGATGCTAGACTGCGCTACCCCAAAAGCAGAACTACATTCGAGAGTCCAGGTGAGCCCTCTACTTCTTGTCGTGATACCATGAAGCTAGATGTCCGACGCCAAAGCCCTAAATCTTTTCGTCGTTGCCCCTTGGCGCTCAAGAAGAGGAGCCGACTCTCTGTGCGTTGGAGACTGATTGGCACATCCGGCTCTGCTTCCAGAGACGGCCCTTGCGGGTGCTTAAGCTAGTTGGGACACGATGCCCACTGCCTACTCAAGCAACATGAGCCATGAAGAAGAAAGATTTATGTATTTTGCCAAAGCTAGATGTGACGATACGTGGCTTGCCTGCCACCGTCTGCGTGAAGTGATGTAAAGCTTAGACCCCTACCATATAATGGTGAACCCATGCGTAGGTCTATACTATACATCTATGTTGCCTGCGTGATAGAAGCAAAAGCTGCTGGAAAATCCCTGCAAATGTTCTATACAACTGAAACTGGAGGCGGAAGCTGTGGGATCTTCCAGATCCGAAACCCCTGCATACCGAAAGTCCAACCTTGAACGGTTCCTGTGACATAGTAGAGTTACGTCATACCTCAGGAACCTCTTTACGCCATGAGACTAGCCTTGCTAACTACATCTCAAATCCGAGCACATAGAGTGCGATTGGCTTTTCGCATGTTGGTTTTGATACCATGGGTTTGGAGGCTTCCTTAAAGGCCTAGCTCTGGGTCAAGCTGAAGCCGCAGTGCGTGCTGGCACATCTGATCCTCTAACCCCTAGAAGGTAAGGGTCCGAGCACTCAGACAGTCAGTATAGGTTTAGGCCTAAAACACCGAACTTCTTAAAGGAGATCTGAATACTCGAACCCTTATAAGGGGAATATCATAGGCAGTGCCGCGTGTACGGCTAGGCTGCAAGAACGAAGGTTGCCGTTCGCAGCCTGGATTCCCGGGAGGTCATTGGTGCAAAAAGAAGCACCAAACCTCTTCATAGGCCTGTCGGAACCTGGCCAAACTCCACGTTCTGTTGATCTTATTATCAGAACGAATGATCATGTACACGTTTATCTATGTTCTTAATTATCTTATCCGATATAAATGGGCACTATATAT